ATGTAGATTATAGACCAACTTTGGGGAGTCAGGAGATGTGTTACTCATTGCTCTTATAGGCAGAGTATTTGTATGGCCATTCAAGGTATGTTTATGGTGATGTATGATGATGGTGGAAAATTCAGAGATGGTAATGCCATTGGCTGTCAGGTGGAAATGGCCTGATTCTCTCTTCTGTTATCATCATTGCCTGGCACCAGTGTGATGCAAATGTTACTTGCCACTTATCAGCCCAAGTCGGTATGTTATTTGGGTCTTACTGTATATTGGTACTAACTGTTTCAATATCTGCAAGGTCACAAATATTACCAAGCACTATCTAACCATCAGCAAGTTTCTCTCTCCTGATCTTAATATAGAGGATGTAAGGACTATATATATTTTTATCTGGAAATATAAATTGGAAAATGGAAATTTGAATACTTCTGTGTTGCAGAAAATGAACTTTTTTTTTATCATGTGAAAGAAACCTAGAACTGTGTGAATTTCATTTATTGGTTACGCAAGGTCATGTAATTTTTGGAGAATATGAATTTGATACTTGTGTATCAACTGGCACCAAGTGTCTTTCAGTTAAAAAAGCTGCCTAGCAACAATTTAGCATAAAGTTGAGATTTGTCACAACTGAGAGAAAGGGGCATTTGTACTCAAATCTTCAAAATGCATATAAGCCGAGAGAGAGGATGGCAGAAAAACAGCAGTCTAGACTCCAAAAAGAAGAACTTGTAACTCAGGCAAAAATACATAACCAACTGCTTGGCTACCAGATTGAAGACCACTGTAGTGATAATAGCTTGATATCATCGTCGGAAACCAAACATACTGAGATCACCTCATTCCACACTTGTGGTGTGGATTCATGACCCACAGAATTTGTTCTTAATTGGCTATTTTCCACCCATGATGTTTCTACAGATCTGCCTCTCTTGTCCGTCCTTTTTGTGATTGAATGTTGGGATTTTAAGGGTATGTAGTTTACGTCTGCACGATAATTAATAATCTGTGATTGTACTTGTTGAAGGATAGGGTTGTCATAATAAATATGTTTTGTTTTCTTCCTCATTTTGTGAGACCTGGTGCGAGTTTCTTTTATTTTAATAGTTAAAGTCAGGCAAATTAACCATCTCAATGATTCATTTGGTTATTTATACAATTGTAGTAACTAGTGGAATGGTCAGGCCTAATTACCAGTGCACCCTTATGATCAGAGTTGTGACCACGGAAGATTTTGATTAAACTGTGGAAGACGCTTGGGCCTTAGACACAACCTTCAGGAAATCCGGCAGTGATGTTCTGGAGTTGTGATGATTGACCTCCACCAATCACAACAATCTTCATTTGTGCCAGATATAATTTCCACCAATGGAGAGATTTCCTCCTGATTCCTACGACATCAGTTTTTCTAAGTGTTACAACTTAACTAGATGAGTGTGCTGATAAGCATGCCCCACCTTTCTACAATCCATCCTAAAATGTTTAAAATCCCAATGAGACAACTAAGATAAAGAAGGGTAATATCCAAAACATTGACTGCTCCTTTCCTTCCGATGCTGCGTGGCCTGCTGTGTTCTTCCAGCCTCCTGTCTGTCTACTTTGGATTTCAGCAACTGCAGTTTTTTTGCCTCTAACCAAGTTTTACCACTGCAAAATCTCTTCAGAGAATGCCCACTTTGAAAAAGTTCTCTACCTCCCTCAGATGTGAACTTAGTGAGTCCCTTTCTCACTGCAACACTGCTGTGACCTCTTCAGCTCTTCAACCACGCTAAGTCCTGAAGAAGGATAATACCCGAAGCATTGACTGCTGCTTTCATCCAGATGCTGCTTGGCCTGCTATGTTCTTCAAATCTCTATTTGTCTACCTAAGATAATTAATTTGCCTGACTGATGATATTCAGGACAAAAACACTTCCCACAAGATTTTGTCCATAACAGAAAAATATCTATATATTGTAACACACTTTAACAAAAAATGCTCAAAAATGACAGAATTTTTAATCTGCTACTGTGGAACTTAAATGACACCTCTTCAAAACCTCAAATATGTCATTCATAATTAGGACAGACGAAAGACATGCACAGATATTATGGGTCAAATAGGATATAGGCAAGGTAAACAAATTGCCAAAAATCATAAATTCAGATTTCAAGGATGGGTTAAATTGTCTCAATCCTTTTTATTTTGACAGTTGATATGCTACTGAATGCATGATGATGGGTGTTATTTGATTTGATTGTTGATCATGTGGACTTAAACTTATTTTAAGTTTTCTTGGTTTTTCTGTCTTTTTCCCACATGAAGAGAGGGAGTGAGGAATGGATGTTTTCAGTCTGTTTCTCTCTCTGTTGCCTCGGCATTTACAGATTTTAACACTCTAGTTTAGTCAATCAAAGTATTATCGCAGAATTTTCTAACTCAAAAGGCTGTGTATGCTGCTCAGCCTCAAATTCTCCTCCTTACTGCTTGAAGAAGTAACATTGTAATGCAGAGCTGAAAAATATGCAGTTTTTGATTTTCAAGTTGCAAGACTGTCTTGGTATTTTCATAATGTGACAGTCTAACTTCTATTTCAAGTTATGGTCCCAAAATGAAAAGTGAGGTCTCTCATGTAGGGATCCTTGTGGCTATACTGGGTCAATGCTGACTTGATGTCAAGGATAGTCAGTCTTTTGAGGTCACCTCTTTTGACCCCGTTTGGACCAAGACTATAATGAATTCAGGTGCTCAGTGAAACTGGTGGAGTCCACCTGAGCATCAGTGAGCTGTATATGAATTAAATTGGCTAAGGACTGGTATCTATGATGTTGAGAACCTCAGCAGTTGGCCAGGTGGATCATCCACTCAACATTTCTGCCTGCCTGGTTGAAATACCTTAATCTTGTCTTTTGTATTGATTCACTGGCTTCCCATTATTATGCTTGGGGATATTTGTGGAACTGGCTCCTTTGGTTAGTTGTTTAATTATCCACTACCATTCACAAAAAAAAATGGCAGTCTTTCAGAACATTTATCTGAACCTTGTGGGATAAGTAAGCCCTGTATTTTGTATCAGAGATAGTAGGAACTGCCGATGCTGGAGTCTGAGACAACAAGGTGTGGAGCTGGATGAACACAGCAGGCCAGGCAGCATCAGAGGAGCAGGAAAGCTGACATTTCGGGTCTGGACCCTTCTTCAGAAAATATATTTTGTATGCTGCGTCTGCTGTTTTTCTTGCATGTAGTTCCGCGTTGTAGCTTCACCAGGTTGGTATCTCATTTTTAGGTATGTCTGGTGTTGCTCCTGACATTTTCTTCTGCATTCTTCATTGAATTTTTTACAACTGAAAGTGTAAACAGAAAAGAAAAAAAATACTGTGCATGAATATTGTTATATTTTGTCATTGCATTAAGTGTTTCTCAACAGAAAATTGCTCTGTTACAAATTTTAAGTTTCAGTATTGCTAAAAAGGACATATTTATTTCAAGGTTTTTCATCTTACATTCATGGGGACAATTTTCTAAATTACCAATAAAAGGGAAAGGCAATGTTTATACTGTACGAGAGGAAATTGGTGATTGGTTGGCTAGTGGACACTGGTTAGTGATAATTGTCTGTTAACTGCCTATTGACTCACTGACTGTTAAAGCTTTTTGTTTAGATTTCTAGCTGGGCCGGATAATTCTGATTGGTCAAGACATTACCCTGAGAAATTAAGCTGTGAATGGCTGTCATCCATTTCTCAGGCTCTTGTGGAGCAGTATTAGAGTCCCTATCTCTGAACCAGCAGGCCTGGTTTCAAGTCCCTTATGCTCCAGGGGCAGGTCATAATATATCTAAACAATCTGATTAAACATACCTGTACGTTCTGCAATTTGATGATAATTGATGCAACACCATTGTGTATACATTGTCATGATTCCAGCTAATTTTATGGTTGGTTAAGTCAGATCCCAGACTGAAATCCCATTGGATAGAACTTTTTTGGTCTTAACTAGGTGGTCTTTCACTTAAACAGAAGCACACACTGCTGCAGATTTGATTTTAACAATAAATCTGGATATTATTATGCAATCAAGATAAACCAAACAATTTATATATAACACATTTAAAGATTTCAAATGCCACAGTTATAATACAATTCCATTAGTGCCAACAGCATCCCATTGCAGTACTCAAAGACAAGAGAGAAATCTCTTTTCAGCCCCACATAAAGTTTGACCTTGCTGTGGCGTCAATTCCCAGTTGAATCTGATGACGTCTTTCTTGGCTCATCATAAAATTGAGCTTACACTTTCCAGTTTCATATAATGCTTTCATAGTTTTAACCAAACACTTCTGGTTTGGAATTTTTTAAAAACTAAACTCCTTACGCTAAGATACCCTAATTTTAGCAATTCTAAACTACCTTCTTCTCTTCTCAGGAGCAACTGCTTTACACATCCATCTTCATCGAAGAACCCTGCAAAACAGCCCAACTGGAACGAATAAAAAAACATTTTTTTCCCCTAAACTGTGGCTGTTTTCCCTAAGCCTAGAATCTTTTATTTGAAAACTTTACGCACCAAGTTGTTTACTTGCTTGTAAATTTTACTCTCCCTGTGGAAACAAATTCTTATTCGGCACCAAAACTCTCTTCTCAGATTGTTGTTAAATGATTTTCAAGTTAATCATTAAAATAGAAATCCACATCCTATTAATTCAAAGGTTAAAAATCCGAACTCAAAAATAAGTTATATATATCATACACCCAACAATATGCATAAGCATCTGTTTCGTTTTCTAGGTATTTGTTTTTATCTACCTCTCAAATAATTCTTCTGCTTCTAGTTTTCTATTTATTTTCTCCACCACTGATCCAACAGGTCTTGATGTATAATTTATATTTTTTTATGAATCTAGAAGTGTGACTTTCATGATTAGTTGGCCATCTATTCCCCATTATTTTCAATCTTCAAATATTAACTTTCATTATAATATTTTTATATGGACTGAATATGATTGTGCCTTATAATCTGTTCTTAGATGATTTTAATATGACCCATCAACATTGTGTGCTGTCTGGATTTCAGCCTCGCTTCAGTTCTACCCACAGAGTGGCAGAGGTAAGATTGGATGATACAACATTCTTGGTTTACTTTTGTTCTTTTAGTAAAATGATTTTTTTTTAATTGTTAAGCTGCTGTGCCATATGTAGATTAAATTTTCCATTTGGTGTTTGAAATACTAAAGGCTTTTTATTTTGCTGAACTCTTTTAACCTAATAGAGTAGAAGGCTAAAAATTGAATCAAAGATTATTTTGATCCTTCACTTTGTTCAATATTAATTCGAAAGATATTTCACCAAACAAATTGCACATTAAAAAGTAAGTTTTTGTTAAATCTGCTGACATTGCTTTATCTTGTGCTTTCAGCCAATACTTAAAATACTTTAAGTCTTCACATTGCCTTACTGGTCTGGAGTGTTTCTAGCTGTGGGTAGACTGTCACTGAGACTGCTTACTCCTTATCTCTATGTAAGGCTTTTTGACTCCTTGTGCACTGTAACACTCCTTTGTTTACATCTTTATATAATAGGTTATCAAATACAACTCTCAAGTGTAGTGTGTAAGACCTCTCTGTTTACCTGCTTATTCTAGAACAGTGACTAGTTACTGGTATCTGAGTCATGAGATCACTTACATCACAGAGTGTTGGAGAAACTCAACAAGTTTGTCAGTGTTGATGGAGAGAGAAACAGAGTTAATGTTTTGAGTCCAGTATGACTCTTCTTCAGGCCAAAGTCATACTGGACTTGAAACATTAACTCTGTTTCTCTCTCTACAGTCGCTGCCAGACCTGCTGAGTTTCTCCAGTATTCTCTGTTTATTTCAGATTTCCAGCTTCTGCAGTATTTTGCTTTTGTTTAATCATTTACATAATGATCGTTCACATGAATTTCATTTAATCCTTAATCTATCCTACATTTTTAAAACTATGCAAAATGAAGGTGGAAAATAGAGATACATCAATGACTCATCCATTTTTAGCATGTATAATTAAGATTTCCTTTAAATATATGGCAATTTATGTTACCATCATTTGCTCTGTGACAGCAACAAATAAAATGTTGAATTTTGACTGGCGATTTTTGGTCCCAATGTTTGGGACACTCAAGTATTATCATAAGTCTGAGGCTTAAGTCATTTTGTTAGCCAGACTGAAGACAAAATTCATTGGTTGGCTGTCCATACATTTCTGGCAGAGGTGAACAGCTCACTCAATTTGAGACCAAGACTAGTAATAGGCCTGATATCGATATAAAGCATCTTAAAAAGAAGTGAGCTTTTACTTGATGCAAGTTCTTGTTGAATTTGTGTTACAACAGATCTGAGCACCATTATTTAGTGGATTCATGGTGGATTGCCTTCCTGAATAATACCCCACTAATATTAGGGGAGTTCTGTTTTAAGCAGGTGAGGAGGGATGAAATGGAAATTGTCCCACTCCTTGTTTTGACTGTAGCAGGTTTGTGCTTTAAATTGTTGAGTGGTTGTGCTTAACCAATTCTCTACGTATCCCGAGGAAGAACAGGATAACTTTATTGAATCTATTTTTCCCCGCCTAAGAAAGACTAGGTAATGCAAAATCATTCATAGAGTCACATAGATACATCTGGGCGCATACACGTGCAAGGACAGTTGACTAAGTATGAAGCTTGTCTTGCAGGATTTTACAGTTCACGCAACAACAGAAAGATTAGCTGTTCCTTGCCTGGTCTTGTTGTGGTGAGTCAACATTGTGACATTTCAGTCGCTCTCCTGGATGCAATCGTATGGAGAAGATTTCCGTATTTTAAAAGATCGGTTTGCAGTCGGTTTTCTCTCAGGAGATGAGATCATTCACACTCCTCAGGGATTCCATCGTCTGATTTCATCTCACGTGGTGTAATGTGAAATTGTGTAATTAATCTGTCTGACCATCGTCTATACAGGGTCTCAGAAAGGAAGAGGAAAATTAGAAATTCTTTTTTCAAAAGAAAAACATACCCTCATAACAGTACTTTGACAGACTCTGGTAACATCATACTTCAAAAATGTAATTTAGAATATTTTAGAACAAACACTCCGGGGTTTGGTTATTAAACTTTTGAGTTTGGTTATTTACAGTTCAAGAAGCTGAATTTTTTTTCAAATTCACAATCAAATTCTTGCTAACATGGGTAGCACTGCCTTGAATTAAGATATTTAGCGTCATTCATAAGCCGAGTTGTACAGAATGATTAACCTGGTTTGAAGAAATATTTTAAATCGATAAACATTCAACCCCTGGTCCACCATGAGCTGACTAATCTGAGCTGTGGTGAAAATAGGAGAGCATAGATCGTGGAAAAGGGTGAGAGTGACTGCACTTGATATCAAGGCAGAATGTGACTGAGTGAGGCATCAAGGAGCCTTAGCAAAACAGAAGTCACTGGCACACTGGGAAAACTCTCCACTGCTTGGAGCCGTTCCTCTCACAGAAGAAGATTGTGACTGTTGTCATTTGAGGCCAATCATATCAATCCAAAAGACATCGTTTCAGTGGTTCCTACACTAACGTACTATGACAACTATTTTCAGCTGCTTCTTCACAGACCTTCTGTCCATCAACTGATTAGTATGGGTAATGTTTACTGATGATGTGTAATGGTTAATACCATTCTTCAGAGACTGAAGCATGCAGTGTCCAAATACAGCAAGACTTCGGCAACCTTCAACCTTGCGTGGATAAGTAGGCAAATAACATTTGTGTTATGTAAGTGTCAAGCACTGATGATCTCCACTAAGAGAAAATTTAGCCATCTCCCCATGACATCTATTAGCATTACCATTGCTGATTCTCCTTCTATCAACACATTGTGCAGCTCATTGCTACAACAGGCCTTGGAGGTATTTTTCTTTGAGTGTATTTATAACTGATTCTAAAACTTATTGTGGTTATGTGGTTACCATTGACCGGGAGCTCAACTGGAGCAGCCACATAAATACTGAGGCTACAAGTGCAAGTCAGCGGCTGGAGATTCTGAAACAAACAACTTATGTCCTGACTCCACAAAGCCTGTCCACGATCTACAAGGCACAAACCAGTAGTGTGACAAAATAGTCTGTACTTGCCTGAAGCAACAGTGCTCCAATCGCATTGAAAAAGACTCAATACCATCCACTCATTTGGCACAGTAATTAAATATTATATTTTAAATATTCATTTCTTCCACCAGCAATGCACAATGGCAACAGTGCGTACTATCTGCAAGGTGCACAGCAGCACTAAAGTTCCTTCAGTAGCACCTTCTAAACCACAATCTCTGTCACCCAGAAAGGCAAAGACAACAGATGCATGGCATCCCCACCATTTGCAAGATCCTATTGAAGCCACATCCTGTCCTGACTGACCACTGTTCCTATACTGTCATTGGATCAATATCCTGAAACTCACTTCCTAGTAGCATTGTGGATGTACCTATACCATTTGGATTGTGGAAGTTCAAGAATCTGCTCATTGCAAACTTCTCAAGGTCAATTAATAATGGGCAAATAAATGCTTGCCCAGCCAGTGACACTCTATCTCATAATAATAAAAATAATTTAATAAGTTGTTGAGTGACTAAGCTTTTTATCTGTTGGAATATATTTTAGACTTACAAAATCTGTGGCTAAAGAATTAAAAGTAAAATACTGGAGTGAAGTGTAAATGATTAACATTACTTAACATTTATACTTTTTTAAAGTGATGTTCTTTAAGGAATTTATTTTGGCCAAAACTCTTAGGAGATGTCCTCTGTTCCTCTTTGAATTGTGCTGTATAATCTTCTGAATCCACTTGAGAGGGCAGGCAGTGTGTCTGAAAAGTAGCATTCCCTTGATACGCTGCTGGAGTGCAGGCCAAATTTTGTGCTCAATTTTCTGAATGGAAGAAAGAGAAAGTTTTGTGAACTTGGACACAACTGAAACTAGTCATCTGTTGAATTGAAACATTGGATAATTAAATATATAATTTGAGAATTACAAATTACTGTAACAATGACATTTTGTAATTAAACAAAGAACTGCAGATGCTGGAGGACTGAAATCAACAAAAACAGAAACTGAAGATTCTCAGCAGGTCTGGCAGCAGCTGTGATGAGGAAACATATATTTTGAAACTTGAATCCCCTCAATAAATTTTTGACTCGTGGCTTGGATCTCACATGGTTTAGGTTTGGTGTATTTGGAATGTTGTTTGCTTTTCTACCAACTAGAACTAGTCATCATAAGGAAGCTCAACAGCCTCACATTCATTTTCAGCATGACCTCAAACCAGATTGTGAAATTGCAATTCTTTGACATTCTAAATATATAGCATAAGGTCCATGTGAAATCATAATTATGTGCTATATGCTATTTATGTATTTCTCTTTGTCAGCACTTAAACTCTCTCTTTGGGTTTCTTTTGCCCCAAAAGCTGATCCTGCAGATTTCAATTGGCACACTTCCTGCTATAAGTGAAAGGACAGAAATCTGGAATTGTGAGTTTTCCATGACTGTTATCAAAACTTTAAGGATAACAACAGAAGGTGAAAACTGATCCTGTCAATTCCATTTGTTTTGATTATGCAGGACCTCTATTTATTGGCCCTACAGCATTTCCCAGTTCAGACAGCTGACTTTAAATTGCTGAAAGTCATTTGGGATTTGCTATTCCATTCTGCGCTGCTTTATGAACTTATGTTATTTTCCCACATGGTAAGCAGGATGTCAGATTTTCAAATAATTGCAAATATTTGCATGTGACTTGAAATTATTCTCAATTTGAGAATGAACACTATAAATTTAAACAAAATCTTGAAATGTCAGTAGCATTGGCAAGGCTGGATGTGTTGCACATCTCAAGTTGCCCTGAGAAGGTGACGGTCTGCTATGTTCTTGAACCATAACTGTTTTTCTGGTGATAGTGACCCCAAAGTGCTTTTGATGTAGGGAATTCTAAGACATTGGCCCAATGATTATTAAGGAATGGAAGTATCTACCCAATACAGCATGTGATACAGGGCAGTTGTGATTCCACAGATTTTTGAGTCTTATCATTCTTAATGATGCAGGTGAAGGAGATTCTGTCTGACCTTGGTGAGGTGCAGAAGTGCAATTTTTTTTGCATATGTTACCACAATGAACTTTAGATGGAGAGTTTGATATTAAGTCCAGTGGCCGTGCTTTTTTTTTGGATTCCTTGGTGTTTTTTTCAGATAACTGCTACTTTGCCATTGAGAACAGTTGCTGTCATCTTTCCTGTGCATGTAAACTCTTGCATCTATGTATAAAGCAAAGCTGGGATGAGTTCATTGAGTCATTTTTGTAAAAACCTAACCGAGCATTGGAGAGCAAAGGCTGCTTGATTGTTCTGTTGATAACACGTTTCATCACTTTCCTGATGATTGTGAGGACGTATGAACAGGGAGCATGAATAGGCCATTCAGCCCCTTCAGCATGTTGCAATGATTTTCCAAAAAAAACATTGCTGATCTGATTATAACTTCAAAACAACGTTCTCACTTACTGCTAGTAATCTTTCTCACCCTTGCTTACCAAGAATCTATCAACATCTGCCTTAAAAATATTCAAAGACCCTACTTTCACCATATTTTCTGGAAGAGTTCCAAATGATCGAAAGAGAAAACACTTTGCTTCATCTCTGTTTTAATTGGAAAGCCCCTTATTTTTAAACAGTGACTCCTCGTTTGAGACTCTTCCATAAGAGGAAATATCTCCCCCAATCTACCTTGTCAAAATCCCACAGAATGTTTATGTTTCAATCAAATCTCCACCTACTCTTCTGAACTCCAGCAGGTACAAACCTAGCCCTTTCTGATAAGACCACTTGCCCATACCAGGTTTTGGTCTGGTAAACCTTCTCTGAACTGCTTTTAATGTATTTACATCTTTAGTACTGTACAATGTACTCCAGATGTGTTCTCACTGATTTCGTCTATAAAGTATAATCTCCCTACTTTTATATTCAATTTGTTTTGCAATAAGTAAATAAAGGAGATTACTGATGCAGTGTTGACTAGATCTTTTTTATCCTGATTTTGTGGATAAAATGTGCCCCTTTTTCAGGTAGTTGCTATTAGCATAGTTGTATTGGAACTGCAACTCAGAATTAGCTAGCTCCAGTGTAAAGGTCCTTAGCATCCAATCTGGAATTTTGTTAAAACCTTAATTATGTCAAGTGCACTCAGCTGTTCTTTAATTTCATAAAGAATAAAATGAATAGACAATGGACAGAGGCATAGCAAAATTGCCCATCTTGTACCATTGGCTTGGAAACATTTGCATCTTATCTCTTATAGTTGTTATGGGGAAACCAGAGTTGAAGTTTTAAGGAAGCTAGTGCAAGTGAAATGAGTTAAATGGCAGTGTAACATTCTATGAAACGTGTTTAGAAGGCTGCCATATAATCTTGGAAGTTGATGACTCTTATAATTGCACAAATATTCACTAATGTTTTGCAACATCATCTGAAAGTGTGTAACAATCTCAGATATTGTTTAGATAGTTGGTGCAATTAAATATATTTTGCATCACATTATTGACTTTTGTGTTGTATCTTGTGCTGCTTATGGTGAAAGGGGTTTCTTCAAGATCCATGATGCAGATTCTCATATAAAAACTCTGATAGCCAGACAAGATTTTTTTTTAAAATTGAAAAGAAATAGGCTCTAAATTATGATTTCCAGAGTTCATGACAAGTCATTCAGACATTACCAAAATGGGCTACGAAAACAGCATGACATCCTTTCTTAGCAAATTAAGTACAAAGTGTAAAAGTGCAAGCCAAGTAATGCTCAACGTTTTATACAAGTATAAAAGCCCCACACCTTCAGCATAAATATGAACGTTTCAAGTCCCTTCAGTTAAAGTTCACACAAAAATATAATGAATCTCATTCTGCAATGCAGGTTCCAGTTGACAATGTGTTAAATAGATAAGTTGTTCTATCAACAGCCTGGTAGCTATGGTGTCAGATTAGCAACTCAGATGTTGTGAATTCAGTTCAAAGCATTACAAGTTGTGAAACTTTGATCAATAAATCTGATCGTATGTGACCTGGGCACCAGAAAAACAATTATGAAAGATAAAAACGGTCCTTGAGAACTTTCGTCTCCGACTATATGTTGATTCATAATGCATTTTTAAGTGGCATTAGAGAATAATTACACCCATGTGTGTAAAAATATTTTAAAAATCACATGGGCACAATCCTAGTTTAATGAGGATTTAAGTTATGCTAGCTTGGTTAATCTTGAAAAGTTCCCCTCACTACTGTCTAGGAGCCAGTGTATTGTAACTGATAATGTTGATGAGTAGGTAAGTTGCTTGAACTCACCCTGAACAAACTCTCATTGAAGGCATACCGACACATGATAAGATTGGTAGGTTACTTCCACAATAAAGACATCTTCAATTATGGAGTGTAGTCTCATGGCTCTGGACATTTCTCATTCTTAAATTGTCACCAAGCCAGCAGACCAACCATGGTTCACCACGGAATGTAGAAAACTGTGTCAGGAACAGCATCAGGCATACCTTAGAATGTAGTATGAATCCAGTGAAGTTACTAAACAGCACCACCCTCCATGCAAAACAACAAAAGCAGCTAGATATATAGCTTAAGCAGTCCCACAACCAAAATGTTAGTGGTCCTACTACATTACATTTAAGCATGGCAGGAGATAATTGGGAAAATTCAGGAGGAGATTGAATAAACTGAACTCTGGCAATCAGAGATTTTATATGAGAATCTGCACCACAGATCTTGAAGGAACCTCTTTCAACGTAAGCATCAAGTTAAAAGTTAAAACACTGCCATTTGACTCATTTCACTTGCACTAGCTTCCTTTAAAGTGATGTCTTTGTGGTCCACTTTACGTGTCCTTTCCAAACACCCATTTTGTTTACGTTTTTGTTTCAAATATTTAGCTACTTCCCTTTTAAGTGCAATAATGGATCTTGCATCTTTCATTGTTTCAGGTAAGGCATTTCACATCTGTTCATGATAGGCCGGAGCTTCCGCCTCCAGATTCCGTGAATCGTGAGGACCACTTACTTAGAGTTCTGCACCATAGAGAGCAATTTAACACAGAAGTGCAAGTTTTGGGTTTAATTCAGAAAGAACGCAAGCATATTTGGAAATTGGCTCCAGTTTTCCAACTTCTGGCTTTAACTCAGGTTGGGGTGGTAAACAGTCTTCTCTTAGAAGGAACTTCACTGAAGGAAATATTTTTAAAAAGATGAAAGTCAAGTCATGATAGGAAAATGAGGTGAGGTGTCTGGATGCCTTGCTAAAATAAATTGGTTTTAATAAGGTTTAGAGGCATGTAGGGAAGAGAAGTGGAGCCATGTAGGGAGACCATTCCAGAAACCAGGATCAAAGAGTTGCAGTCTCTTGACTGTTGGGATGAAGGGGAGAGGGGATGTATAGAGACCAAAGTCTGAAAATGAGGCAATGTAAATTTGCTGAGATAAGATGATTTAAAGGTCTGAAGGAGTTTGTTGGAAAGTTTGTTAATTTAAAGTTCATTGTGTTATAATACACAGGTGTTTATTTCACTGCAGCAAGTAATTGGGAAGGCATGTAAAGAACATTGGAGGTATCAAATTTGAAGATGGTGGCAGGAAAGTACATGAAGTTTGGGTGATATTAGAGATGGATGATGTTACAAAAAAGAGATGATGGATAGAATCTATTCAAATTGGACCCTGCACCATACAGAATGCCAAGAATTTGAACAGTTTTAATTTCTGAGAATTGTCAGCAATGTAGACAGAAACAGAGAGGAAATTATTTCAGAGGCTGAAGATGATGGCCTTAGTTTAGTTAAAGAAAATTTGCATTCATGTATGATTTAATGTCAGACATACCAGTGAAAAATATTTCATAACACACCAGTTACATATTTAACAGGATACAGCAGTGGATGAACCAAACTGTTTGTAACATAAAATATTTAGCAGGTTTTCAGTATGAATGATTAAATTGATCAAATTTGCGCATAGCACAATACCTGAGTTATGAAAATAATGCCAGAGTCAATATGATGATGGAGCAAATTACTGCAGATGGTGGAATTTGTACTGAGAACAAAATATGCTGGAAATCACAGCGGGTGAGGCAGCATCCGTGGAGAGAGAGTAAGCTAACGTTTTGAGTCTAGATGACTCTTCATCAGAGTTGGTGGTGAAGGCTGAGGAGGCCAAGTCATTGAGTGTATTTAAGACCGATTCTTGATTAGTGAGGGGATCAAGGGTAATGCGGAGAAGGCAAGAGAATGGGGTTGAGAAACATAGCAGTCATGATTGAATGGCAGAACAGACTCAATGGGCCAAATGGCCTAATTCTGTTCCTGTATCCTATGGTTTATGGTCAAATCCTTCAAATATTGTTTTATGCTAGGGAAATACATCTGACACAAAGACAATTTTGTCATATAGCCAGAAAAAGTACTTTCTTTCTTGTGGATTAACCTCTGATGAAGACTCAAAACATTAGCTTGCTCTGTCTCCACAGATGCTGCTTGGCCCACTGTGATTTCCAGAATTTTTTGTTTTCAATATAGTGTTATTCATGAAAAGGTTTCATGGATTGTAAGTTTTAGTTCTCTGGTTTAGGATTTTTCTTGATGATATATTATGCATATTGTTCATTTTGAAATCTGAATAAAATGACTAAATGAAAAATGAATACTGTATTTAATCTCAGAAATTAGGTTGTATGTGACTACTTAGATGATATACAATCAAACTATATATTTTACAGTGTTCAAGTGGCACATTGGATTATATTTTCGGACGCTGTGACATAGCTATGAAGAATCTGCAAAAGGATCCGTTATCGGGCATTTCCTCCCTGGTTTCTTTGGAGCTTGTTAATGTGAGACAAACAGAAGAAATTCACAATGAGGTATCAGCAGTTCACTGCATATTGGTTTCATCTTTCCATGATTAATCATGTTAATTGCTGATTCCCCCAGAAAGAAACTGAATTGAATTTTTTGTGTTAACTATACTTAGTTGCTTGTCAAATTGCTATATCTCTAAGTCCAGATAACCCACAAGAAAAAATATTTTTCTCAGATTGTAGGACAAGTTTGTCTTTTCAGATGTACTTCCCTAGTAAAAAAATGATATCTGGAGGACTTGACCATCGACTATAAGATATAGGAACAGAATTAGACCATTTGGCCTATCGAGTCTGTTCTGCCATGGCTGATGTGTTTTTCAACCCCATTCTCCTTCCTTCTCCCCATTAACCTTTGATCTCCTTACTAATCTAGAACTGTCTATCTCTATCTTAAATACACTCAATGATTTGGCTTCCTCAGCCTTCTGTGGCAACAAATTCCACAGATTCACTGCCCTCTGGCTGAAGAAATTCTTCTTCATCTCAGTTCTAAAGGGTTGTCCTTTCACTCTGAGGTTATGCCCTTGGGTCCAGTCTCTCATACTAGGATTGAAACATCTTCTCCATGTCCATTCTGTCCAGGCTTCTCAGTATTTTGTAAGTTTCAATGAGATCACCCCTCATCCTTCTGAACTCCATCAAGTACAGACCCAGAGTTCGCAACTGCTCCTCATATGACAAGTTTTTCATCCCCAGGATCATTCTCCTCTGGATCCCTTCCAATGCCAGCATTTCCTTCCTTAGATACAGGGCCCAAAATTGCTCCAAATGCAGTCTGACCAGAGCCTTATACAGCCTCAGCTGTACATCTCTGCTGTGGTATTCTAGCCCTGTATTTTTGTATTGTGAGCAGATTTGGGCACCAGACCTTAGGAAGGATATATTGGTCTTGGGGGGAGTACAACGTAGGTTGATAAGAATGACACCTGGACTTAGGGATTAAGGTATGAGGAGAGATTACATAAATTAGGACATTTTTCTCTGGAATTTAGAAGGTTAAGGGGTGATCGGATCGAAGTCTTCAAGATGTTAACAAGAAAAGATGGAGTAAAGATAAACTTTTGCCATTGGTTGGCGACTTTAGAACTAGGGAGCATAGTCTAAAAATTTGGGCCAGATTGTTCAGGAGAGATGTTTGGAAACACTTCTACACAAAAGTGCTGGTAGGGGTTTGGAACACTTTTCCAAAAATGGCAGTTGAAACTAGATCAGTTGCTAATTTTAAACATTTTTTTGTTAAGTGAAGGTATTAAGGGGTATGGGTCAAAGGCAGGTATATGGAGTTAGACCACAGATCAGCAATGAACTCATAGAATGGTGGAACAGGTTTGAGGGACTAAAGGGCCTACTCCTCTCCATATGTTCCTCCAAAATAATGATGGATTATATTAGTCAAAATGTTGTCCTGTGGAAGAAGTTAAAGGTGTTACAAATATGTTGTTTAATTTAGAAACAAGAGTCCTGATTTTATCTGGGGTGGAAGCAAAGTATGTTGTGGCCACTTCATGTAGCAAATGGTCTGTTCGTGCCACAGTTGCAGGCATTGGAGATGTTAGCTTGCAGATCTAATTTAAATAATTTATTGCTGGAGGTGGCCAGGTGGAAATGGAATTTCCAGTTTGAGACACTTTGGGAAATTTGAGAGGATGATCCTTGGCATGTTGTACGTCCTGAACGTCCAAAAGGACAAAAGCAAAACTTCACTTAAGCTTCATCTGGCTCCAATCCAGCTTGTCTTTAGGTGATCTGTGACTAAAGGATTGAGTGGGGTTTCATCAAGCTTCAATTAAAACTGCATGTGATTCCAAATAAAGACATAGAGCATGATTTTTACATTGTAATTGTACCCCCACTTGTGTAGGATAACTCCTAATTTGCAGAATGTAATTGGAAGTAAAAACAGTAGCCAATTTAAACAGTTCAGTAATGGTACATTTAAGTTCCCAAACTCCATTTCAACATCTCTACATGCACCTGGTATACAGGGTTAAAATTAGGATTAGTACCTTTTAAATTCTGTCTACCAAGATAATTGAGCTGAAGCCTTCTGCCTGTGAAAATTTTTCAATAAATGGCAGATATATTTTACTGCCTACTCTTTTTTAATCTCTTTGCTATAAAAGCTTTTCTATTACTATTGAGATTTCTGATGCTAGTGTAAAACCTAATGAAAGTGTAGTATAATAATTATTGCTGGGAACATGGATATTACGATGTAATTCTCATATTACACCACTGATTTGTGATGGCTATTCTGTGTGTCAAAGTCACTTTGAGTACAGTGTCCGTTGTGACATTAAGCCTTCTCTGATGGAGTCAAGGGCAATCTCTACATAATACCATGGCTGAATAAAAGATTTGTTCATATTTGTTGGATTTATTGCAGCACTGCATACTGTCAGTGAACTGCATTGTCTGAAGGTCTGGAAAACTGTGGAGGAACAGAAAGATTATTATGTGAAGAGAGCAAGAGCCACTGTCATTGTTGCTTGAAATCAAATAGCAGAAGTCCTGTGACAAAGTTAGTAATTGTCATAGATAAGTCACAACATGATAACAATGAACTACCCTGGTGACTGACATCTCCTCTGAGGATCATTTTTTCACTGTGTCCTAGCCACAACTATGATAAAATGACCATTTTTGAACACCTGTGAAACCAAATAATATTGCTGTCTAAAGTGTTCAAGTCCGAACTGCCACATTCACGGCTGTTCAAATCATGAGCTTTATATATGTTGGCTCTCTTTAACTTGAATTGAAGTTGGCCCTTGGACAGTGGTTAGAAATACGACAGAGTGCAGACTTGCACTGAAAGGTCACCAGTTATTTATGCATTGTTGGAAATGACAGATTGGACTGTTTGCTGCCGGTTACCCATGAGATTCACATTTTTGATGCTTGATTTATTGATTTTTGGTGGCTAACTAGGCATTGTCTTAGGTATTTTTTTCCTGGCTTTTCAGTGTGTCCTGCTGATGGGCTTTTCACAGAAAACTCTTTGTCTATGGGAGTGAGCATTGAAAAGCAGCAAGCTGAATCAATTACCTGGCTAGCCTTGAGATAGTTGCAGCAAGGCATACTAACACAATATTACAGAATGTATAAAGTTATCCTTGCAGTTAGCAGGTGATTATATGGTCAGTGATAAGTCGCACTAAAATATATGATCTGGCAGGCTTAATTGATTGAAGGACCTCTGAGCCAGCTGGACCGTGCTTTCTGGTCCTAGCCAACTTACTGCTCGAGGGTATAGCTAAGAGCATGCTAGGTATTGATTTGTTAGTCATCAGATACCACCTTGTGGGTCCTCTGAAAATTGATTGAGTTTAGTCTGTGAGCCATGCAATGGAGCAAAAGCTCAGCTGCTTAAATTGAAAGGGGTTAGTGTAGTTTGACTCTGGGGTCTCTGTTAAGAATATTGGTGTGCAAACAGTCACAGCAAGGGTAATGTATGATTCAGCATGTCAGAATAGAATGCCAATGCCGTTGATAGTTTGCCAGGTACAAAGGAAATTAAATATGGATTACCTGAGCAGGTGGCCTTCACTCACTAGCATTTGTAAGTAATTTACTCAGCATGTCATGCACACTAAATGACAAGCACTATTGTAGCTGACCTTCGATTCCTAGTCCAGTTGAAAAACCTGAGCTTCTTTCTTTAATCAGTGATTACTTCTGTTGAGAGAGTTGTTGGGGGTGTTTAGAAAATTGTGTTGGTATTTACATTTCATGCTGAGAACTCTAATTGGGTGAATAATGTTTACTGTGTATCTATATATAGGCATTTGTAATCTAACATACGACATAATCATGTAGCAAGTGAACAACTCTTTGACAACTGCAAACTGATATCAAAATAGATCAGTCACATTTCAAATGAGTTCATCAATCTCTGTGTTTCAGCCATTAGCCTTTCAAGGGTTATTGGTGCATTTCTGTAGACAATAGTTAACTTCAAAATACATTATGATGACAGACAGAAATTCAAATGCTTAGTTACTGCCACTAAACTGACCTACCAGTATATGTAGAGTCAAGTTCCTTTAATCTGAAGTTACCAACTTCAACCATTTATTTGAATAAATCTTCAGATTGTCTACAGTTTCTGCTGAGATACCAAAACTGATAGAAAGCTATTCAATCTTCTTTCCCTGAGATCCAAAACAAAGGTGCAGCAAATCTTTATCAGAGAGTTCTTCTACATTGACAATGCCTCATGACATTCCTTATTAAGGAATACCTTTAGTAGCAAATGGATAAATCCTATCATGCCTGTTAAGAATTTGGTTTGTGAATCAGCATCAGGAAAATAAATTACATGGACCAAGATGGTACCACAGTACCATACTGCTATCTATCAGTATTGACAACATGACATTGAAGATTATCAGTAAATCCACATATTTAGACTCTGTCATCACTAGCAACTTGACACATGAAAGTGAAATCAACACACACATTGCCGAAGTGCAGTTGTTATGTCCAAGCTGAGGTTGGAACTACAGCAACTTGACTGAAAACTCTGAACTGTGACACTTGCAAGCTTGTATCTTTAGAGCATTCTCAATAGTGGTAAAACCTGGATTCCATATAGTAATTGGGTGAAAAGGCTGAATGTTTCCATCTTTATTGTGTCAGATGATCCTTGTCATGTATGGGCAACAAAGGTCAACGACATAAAGATCCTGGAGCATGCTAATTTGCTTAGCATATATTCATCGCTCAGGCGAGGTTTCCACTGGCATCCATATACCCAAAAACGTTCTACATGGTCTTCATAACCCACTGGGTCTATACTTCCACTATAAGGACAAATGCAATTAAGATATGGCAGAATTTGACATTGACAGCTAGAAGACAGCCACTGTCAGTCATGACCACTGGAATGCTGTCTATTGGGTATGGCATTAGGAAAGGTGATCAGAAAATGAAGTGTTTAGCTGGCTGAGAAGAGGCCCCAGTGAAACAGTGATCAACAAATCATGCACCTTTTCACT